CTTACAGTCCTTAAAACCAAACCAAACCAAACTCACTGTCGTTGAGTTGACTAGACTCATAGCGATCCCTCCTTGGGTTTCCAAGATGGTATCACTATAAAAGTAGATTGTCCGACCTTCCTTCCGAGGAGTGGCTGGTGGGTTTGAACTGCCAGCCTTCTGGTTAGCAGTCAAATGCCTTAGGCACTATGCTACCAGACTTAGCAATGACTAAATCATGGTATCTATAGAAAGTTTTGAGATCTCTAACATAAATACCAAGATGAAAATAGGAGCTGTTTCTTTAATTCTCACTATACAATTTTTAAGAAGCATTTTAATATTCCACTCAACTCTTTTCTCCTATTCTCCTCCTCTTTCTCTCTCACTGGCTCTGAAAAAATAAGCATAGCCATAAATATGCAAAATGTGGAAAGCTGACTTTTCCTATACCTAATAAAAACCTTGGGGAGTAATTGACATTACTCAGAGTGAGTAGTCAGGTTACATGCTGCATAATATCAAAAGAAAATCCATAGCAAGGAAAAGCAACAGAAGATGGGAAGGGAGACTGGAGAATAGAAACAGAATAATGAGTAACTGTGAGAAACTGAAAAAAAAAATCCTTTTAGAATCACATTTTTAGAAAAATAGTCAAGAAGCATCTTCAAAGAAATTACTCTAGACAAAGTGAACATTTTAAGCATTTTTAAGGATCACACATTTAAAGAAAAGGGAAGAAATATCCTCCCTCCCCTTGGCATCTATTCATCAGATAAAAGACTGAGAGAAGCCACAGGTTCCTATCAAATTTTGACATACATGTTTTTTCATGATTATGCTCTTCTCCCCTCTCCTAGTTCCCCTTTTATCTCTACCATCTAAATTTTAAAAGAATACTGCCAAGACAGCATATCACAAAAGAATTGCCTCCTATCAATTGTACTGAATACTTTTTGCTACATATTGCTTTGGTCTTTTTGATTTTACAAATGATTGCTATATTCATGGTGGGTAGAAAAACGATATTGATTTGACATGTCTTGGTTTTAGGGAAAGAAATGGTGGCATTGTGGGCATATGGAGAGAGAGTAGCTTATAGAGTAAATTTCTGACAGAATCCTATTGGTTATTACCTTGCTCTCACTGGATATATTCAGCTATCTGAGTTCAGGCAAATTCCTTACTGTTTCTAGACTCATTTTCTTTCTAGTGTATTATTGTTAATTAATTTTTAGGTTATTTTCATATAAAAATAAAAAACTTTGGGAAACAGAAAAGTAAAAAGAATGAAAATCAATCATCCATAACCTTACCAAATGTAACAACTATGTATCGGTGAGTTTTTCATCAATATTACTTCCTAGATACAAGCTGTTTTCTTTCTTTTTTCCCCACATTATAGAAATTAAATTATTTGATCTTATTTTCTTTCAGCAGTGTTTTGTAAGTCTTTCAAAATAAGAATATATAGATTTTTAACCATCATTATCTGCAAATGATACCCATTGCTATTGAGTGGATTCTGATTCATGGAGACCCCATATATTGTGGAGTACAGCTGTGCTCCATAGGGGTTACTTGGCTGTAAGCTTTATAGAAGCAGATCACAAGGCCTTTCTTCCATGGTGCTGCTGGGTGGTTTGAATTGCCAACCGTTAGGTTAGTACAAACTGCGCTACCCAAGGACCTTATCATTGTCTGTAGCTGTATAATGTATGCATTTTTGTTCTTTGTTTTTTGACAGAGACCTTTCCATAGCTTTCAGGCTCATTGATTTTCTCACTGAAGTAACAGACGTGCAAGTCAGGGCCTGATGTGTACTTCGTATTTATGATGGTTACAGCCAGGCTCAGCTTTAACTTCACATTAAACTGTTGGTTTAGTTCATGTGCAAAAAGGTGAGGTTGATGTATTTCTGCAGATCATTTCAGATCAAAGACCAGTGACTGTACTATCTATGTTGATGTCTCTGAAGGAAGTCACACAGACTGGCGTACCAAGTCCAGCTTTGCAACCGACTATTTCTGTGACCTAGGACAAGGTCCTTGACCACTCGGTGCCCTATTTCCTCATCTGTAACAGTGGGAATATCATTATAATATCTCAATTCTGAGAAATATCTCTTAATTCATTTGCCATTGGGTTGAACACTGCAATCAATGTGTATATTGTAATTTTTTCTTCCTTTTCCCTTCATCCACACTCCTCAGAACTATTACAATCAATAGCATCTTAGAACTGAAGAAATATACTTGTCTTAAAGTGCTGTTGAGAGAATTAACTGAAATATACACTGTTCTGGTTACCTAGTGCTGCTCTGATGAGAAATATACCACAAATGGGATGGCTTAAACAAACAGGAGTTTATTATTACAATTTGGAGGCTTTAAGTCCAAGTTCAAAGTGCCAGGCTCTAGGGGCTGGGTGGAAGCCCCTCAACTTTGGGGTCTAGTTCTGCCTCCTGCTCCCAGCCCACTGGACCTAGAGGCATTTCTTCACTCAGACAGCTGCAGGCTGCTGAGGCTGAGAAGCCCCAAGGTTGACAAGTAAAAAGGCACAGTCCCGATGTTACGTAACCACATGGCAGGCCATTAACTTAAGTCCATGGTAACTCCCAAGGTCGGCAGAGCATAGTAGGCTGCTGAGCAACAACACGGCTACATGCAGGGTCCAAGCGTACCATAGGCTAGAAACCATTCTCAAAGCGTCTCCTTATATACAGGAATCAGACAACATACCCAAAGGCAGCTACTCAGCTGCTCATAGTAAATTCCACTATTGAGTTGATTACCAGTCTCATCATGGGAAATCCTACATCCAGCTGCCCAGCCATTCAACCAGGCCTAGCCAAGTTGACATACAAACATAACCATCACATACACAAAGTGTTTTTGCTATTGTATAATAGTGCACATGGTATTAACTCAACAAATGAGTGAACAAATGGTTTATGCTTAACTGCTAACATAAAGGTTGGTGGTTTGAACCCACTCAGTGATACCCTGGAATGCAAGCCTGGCAATGTGCTTCTGTTAAGATTACAGTGAAGAAAATCCTATGGAATAGTTTTAATCTTAACACATGGGGTCACCATGAGTTAGAATCAACTCTATGGCAACTAACAACAATAATTTTGTTAGTAAAAAATACCTATGCATTGTTTTTAGAACAGTAGAACATTTACTCTGTGTAGAATATTTATTATGAGAAACACATTATTTTTAGATAACATATTTCATTAAAATTCATGCTTCTTGGAAACTTTCTGTGATAGTTGGAGCTGTGTGTCAACTTGGCTGGACCACAATTCTGTGTGGCTTAAGCAGCTGTGATGTGGTTATTCCCATGATGGGATCAGATGTATATGTTTTGAGCAGCCAATCCATTGAAAGGGAGTTTCCCTAGAGGTGTGGTCTGCTTCCAGTATATTTGTGGACATCCTGGGAAAAGAGACACTCTTCCGTGAATCAGGATTCTGTTGTGCTGCCTAAAACTGTCCGTGAGCGAACAATCCACCATTCGGCCTGGAGATCTTGGATTCATCATTCGTTGGAGTCAACAGCCAGTGCACTGCCTGCCAACTTTGAGCTCCTCAGCCCCTGCAGCTGTGTGAGTTGGGAAAATCCTCTAGCTTGACGTCTGATCCAAGAACTTTGGCCTTGCCAGCTTCTATAAGTGTATGAGCCATTTTCCTTAGATAAATTTCTCTTTCTCTCTCTATGTTAGCTTTACTGGTTTTGTTTCTCTAGAGAATCCAGTCTAACACAATTCTTCAACACTCTTTCATTAATTAGAGATGGCACAGGGATGACACATAGGTTTATTTTCATGTGCCACATCTAATCTACTGCTGATTGTCAGACATACTGTGTTGTGAGAATTGATGAGGCAGAATCTGGGTACAGCAGACAAGAGCACAAAGGCTTATTAGTAGTGTCTCCCCCAGGCTTTGGAAGGAGTAGCAATACATAGTATGTATTCACCATCTCCGTATTATGGTGTCACAACATATTATGTGGAGAGTCATTACAGACCATGGTTTATCAATCAATGGGTCTCATTAAAATCTTGTGGCATTTCACTGACTCTGGGTTCATCTAGGAGGTGCAAACCCACATAGGTAAGAAGAAGCAAGTCTAGAATATGCTGATGGCTGGGAAACAGAGAAGCTGATGAAGACCTGGAAGTGTCAACAACCCTCTGAAAACACATTCTTTCCCTTAATGGCCTTGAGGATTTTAGCCACATGGTAGCTAAAGTATGATGGAAATGAACTCAGGAAATTAAATCACTGCAGACATGTTTTCTGTGAACTATGAATCCATTTTTGAAAACTGTTACAAGAAATAGTCCAATGGAACAGGCTGTACTTAGATATTTTTCTTAAAACTCCAACCCTAGAAAAAACCTGGAAGACTTCCACCAAAGGAAAGGGCAGAGCCTTAGCTGTGATACTGATTGTGTTGAACCCTTACTTTGCTAACATTGTCTTAGATATTGCCTCCTGATTCTTGAATGCCCTGCACTGTGGATTTTCTAGGGTTTTGCTGTTGGATGCCTGGCCTTCTCCCCCTTGGTCGATGCCATGAATACATCTTTTTCTTGATTGCCTTTCTACCTTCACCACCAGTTGCTCTCATGTCAATTCTGACTCCAGGTGTATCAGAGTAGAACTACACTCCATAGAGTTTTTAATGGCTTCTATTTTTGAAGTAGATCTCCAGATCTTTCTTCTGAGGCACCTCTGGGTAGACTTGAACTGTGACATTTTTGGTTAGCAGTCCAAGGCATTAACTGTTTGTACTACCTGGAGACTCCTGGGCTCCTTTGTTGTGGGTAAAAGCCTAAGTCCAGAGCCCATCTCTCAAAAAAGGCAATGGTATTAGAAAAGGGACTATTCACTTTATTGCATGGTCCTTGTTATCTAATTCTCAGCTTTTTTTTTTTTTTTTTTTTGTATTTATGAAAAAAAATCAACTATTAAATTTGGGTGAAAGCTTAAATGGAAAGCTACATACCATTTTTTGAAATATTCTGGTAGTCCCTGTGATTGCAGTGGTTTCTTTTCCATAAACGAAGGTAAATAGAGTCTTCTTTAATTCTGAAACAAATATATATGCATATATTTATTGTTAGGACATTCATATTATAAAGTTAAAAAAATATATTATTATTTTGATTTTTTAAAAATATGATAGAAATGAACTCAAAAAATTAAATCTCTGCAGACATATTTTCTCTGAACTATCAATCCATTATTGTGAGTTGTTACAAGAAATAGTCCAATCTTCATGGCTCCAGGAAGTCTGGAGTCCATGAGAATTTGAAATTCTGTTCCTGCATTTACTCTTTTTGATCAGGATTCTTCTGTGGAATCTTTGATCAAAATGTTCAGTAATAGTAGCCTGTTTCTCTGGTCTCATAGCAAAGGTTGTTGTTGTTGTCAGGTGCTGTCAAGCTGGCTCCGACTCACAGAGACCCTATGTATAACATGACAAAACATTGGCCAGTCATGTGCTACCCTCACAAGACTTCCTATACTTGAGCCCATTGTTGCAGCCACTATGTCAATCCATCTAGTTGAGGGTCTTCCCCTTTTACTGACCCTCCACTTTACCAAGCATGCTATCCTTCTCCAGGGAATGACCAAAGTAGGGAGATGAAATCTAGCTATTCTCATTTCCAAGGAGCATTCCAGTTTCACTTCCTCCAGGACAGATTTGTTCATTCTTCTGGCAGTTCATGGTTGTTCTAGTATTCTTCACCAACACCACAACTCAAAGGCATCAACTCTTCTTCAGTCTTCCTTATTCATTGTCTGATTTCTTGACTGATGCTTTCATGGGTGTTAATTGTGGATCCTGACCAACTGACTAGGAGAGATCCATATTTGTATCCATTCCATAGAAAGGTGATCCAACAGAATATGGAAATTATTGAACAGTATCAATATCATATGCAAGTAAAATTTTGCTGAAGATAATTCAAAAACGGTTGCAGCAGCATATTGACAGGGAACATCCAGAAATGAAAGCTGGATTCAGAAGTGGAAGCTGAAAGCAAAGAATACCATAAAACTGTTTTGTGTTTCATTGTGCAAAAGCATTTGACTGTGTTGATCATAACAAATTTTGGATAACATTAACAAGGAGAATTCCGGAACACTTAATCGTGCTCATGAGGAACCTGTACATAGACCAGAAGGCTGTCATTTGAACAGAAAATACTTTGTATGATTTCACTCTTTAAAAATTTATCAAGACTTGCATTATGACTCAAATAAATAAAATAAAATAAATTAATAATAAGGTCTATCCTGGAGAATGATCAATGTGCACAAGAGTAGAATGCATATAGTACTGTTTTTTTTTGTGTGTTCTATACATGTTTGTTAAATCTTGTTGGTTTACAGTGTTATTCTAGTCCTCTGTTTCTTGTTGAACTTCATTCTGGATGTTCCATCCAATATTGAAAGTATTGTATTGAGGTCTCCAGGTATTAATTGTACTACTATCAATTTCTCCTTTCAATTCTATCAGTTTTTCCTTTACTTATTTAGATGCCCTGATGTTGGGTGCATATATATTTCTTATTGTTAAATTTTTTGATTAACTGGACTCTTTTATCACAATATAATGACCATCTTTATCTCTTCTAACAAATTTTGTCTTAAAATCTATTTGGTCTTGTATTAAGACTATGGCCCCACATTACCCTTCATGCCTGGAACTGAACTCACTTCCATGGCTTAACTCTCAACCAAACAATAGACATGACTACGAACTGAACAACTACACCAGAGAGATGCACTCCTTAGGACAATCAGTCATGAGAGATCAAAAGGGCAGCATTTGCACAGGGAGAAAGGTAAGGAGGCAGGAATGTATAGGTAAGAAGGACACAGGGAAAGGGTACCCACAGGGAGGAAGTGGAAGGAGGGCTGTTACATTGCAGGGAATGTAATCAGTGTCACAAAACAAAATGTGTATGAACTGTTGAATGTAAAACAAATTTCCCTTGTAAAATGTCACCCACATCATAATAAAAAGTTAAAAAAAAAAAAAAAAAAAGATTACCACTCCAACTTTCTTTTGTCTCCTTGGATTTAAAGTGCATCTCTTATAAACAGCATATAATGAGATCATTTCTTTTCTTTCTTTTTTTTTAACCCATCCTTTTACTCTCTGTTTTTTGGTTAGAGAACTTACTCCATTTACATTCACTGTAATTACTGAGAAATGACTTTTTCTGACATTTTGTTATTTGTGTGTGTGTGTGTGTGTGTTGTAAGCATTCTTTGGGAGCTCTGGTCTTTGTCCTTTACCACTGCTTGTTTTTGTGTTTTATTGGTTTATTGTAGTGAGCCTTTTTACAATTTCCCTTCTCCTTTCATTTTGCATGTGTTTAAAATATATTTTCTTAGTGGTTATCATGTATATTACATTGAACTTCAGTAATATACAAGGAATTGTATATCTATACCATTCCTTTCCCTCCCTTTTGTGGTTGTTATCATTAACTAAGTATTACATTTAATGTGCCCTATGACATAATTTTATCCTTGATTCATATATATATATATAGGAGCTCTGGTGGCATAGTGCGTAAGGCACTTGACTGCTAACCAGAAGGCTGGCGGTTCAAACCCACCAGCCACTCCTCGGAAGGAAGGTTGGGC